TGTCGTGACGCGGCTCATATACAAGTATCGACCAATGAAAATCGACGATACAAACTCGTAGTACGATTTATTTAGTTCATATATATGTGATATAGATATTTGTGTATTTGTGTTTGTGTGTAGGTGTATACATTCATGTATGTATACTTGGATATTATGGGATACGCGCCTTTTGAAGCATCAAAATTGAATTTCAACCTCATATTTATCTTAAAGTGACATTATGCCCATCCAAGGCTATATAGTGAGTGACCAGGTGAATATCAAAATAAGTTTTCATTTTGCCAAAATTCCTTTTAATTTTAATAATTTACTTCCCATAAACAATGAATAATGCACAGGATCCAAATAAAATTTCTGTAAATATCTATTAGAATTTACTTATAACGATCAATTTATAAAAACAGAGTTGGGCAGTCTTTTTTATTTTAGGCAAATTAATAGTTTTCCAATATCAACTGTTGGTCAAACACCATTTTAACAGTCAATTCTTTTTTAAATATAAAGTCAGTTCAGTTCAACTTGACTATGAAAATATGAGCATAATGTTACTTTAAGATTAATATATCATAATTTTGTTTAAAACAGTAGATAATTTGTTATATATTTGATTTGATATATATATCGCTAACATCAGCATAAATTGGTTCGAAAAAGAATATTAAATTCATTAAAAAAGATCAATTTTTTGTAATGCCGAAGAATAAAAAAATAAACAAGGATCGTCTTACCTTGACGTTTATTAAGGCTGCTGAAAGTAAAATCCTGTATATTCCCAACATTATTGTCATCACATGACCAAAGAGAAACCAAGGTAAAAAACATTTCCTTCCCGACCACCAATATGTATTCACCCTATATGTCTGATATCAGGTCCGGGTCAAATCCGACATTTTTAATATGTCATGGCTTAAAATACTGTACAGGAATCTTATCGGCGTTGCACTTAAAGATAACATGAATTTCTACTCCGTGTTACGTTGTATCAATGTCAGATTTGGAATGTTATGACTTTATTTAAATTGATCTTGTGAGAGTCCCTTTGTTTCAAAACCATAATACTTTAATCTCCTCAAATTTGTTCACTTCAATTGAGGTCTTCAAGTGCTTTATATACGCGAGTTGTTTTTTTGTTAAATGGATTTTCATGTTATTAAAGAGTGCCACAGGGCGGTTAGAGATAACGTTGGCAAGGCTCACTCTGTGTTTTTGTTTCCTCCCTTATCGTTATCAAATATTTCAACTTAACCGGTGCATATTTAATATCGCATTGTAACATGGCCAGCGATTGGCTGAAAAAAAAGTGCAGGGAAAACCGTATGATTCAATTTATGCATGAGGTGATTGGATGAAGATGGGGTATTTTTAAGTATAAAAACTAATTTTGTAAGTAACACTACATTGTTTTCTGAAGAAAATGAAATATTTCATTAGTCTCTATGATAATTTTGAATTGGATATTTGCATTTATAGAAAGTGTATGTCAGTCTCTTTGAAGTCATTTTGCAAAAAAATTGGTTGGCTACCCCTATATAACAGGAACATTTTTATGTGTCAGGCATTTCATTCTGCTAGAAAAATCACCTCTTTAGCATGAAAACTCAATTTTAAGGTAGGATTAGGGACCATTTATTAAAATGTGAGTCTATATAAATATCAATATGAGTGTCTGACCTTGAAATACGAGGCAAACGTAACAACCTACTTACCGTTCTTGTTTGGGCGTATGACTATTGAAATATATCAGAATTAAAAAAAACAGTGCATTTCCAAAAAAAAAAAAAAAAAAAAAAAAAAAAAATGAAAAAAAAAAAGAAAAAAAAATGATAATGTTTGTTATATATGTGATCAAGTGTGTTTCAATAAAACTGTATCAGATACTTTGCTTAAATCTAATTTTGTTTCTAGCAGACACGTGTTATTAATTTGAAAGACACGCTTTAACAGCGTAAGACTATTTTTTCAAAAAAGTATATTGTTTGGTCTTGATATATATCGGAACATGTTGGCTTTTAATCACGTGCTATTTAACACTGAAAAAATGAAAATGTATTTTACTGTTTACAGCTGATCATTGGTGTATATAGATAAACTTTTAAAGATGTAAGTTGCTATTCCATCAGAAGACGAATTGTCTTGAAGACTTGAAGACAAATGGCGAAGAAATAATCATTTGCACTTACAAGATTTATGAAAAAATGTTCACTCAAACATTTTTTTTGCCACCGATTTTAGTAATCAGACCATCACTTTAGACTCATTCATCTGTTCATTCACAAATGATTCTCGTGTTTGCAGTATTTGCATGACGTTTCTATTCACCATCAAACAAAAGAGAAATGGTCGATTCATACAAATCTGTCATTGAAATCTTGATTTCAAGGAGATTTTATACACTTTTTAAAGCAAATGATTTGCATATTTGGTATCAAAATTTGCAGAAATGTATTAACGACACGAATGGTTTACAATTAATTGAAATTTTATTATCACCTTAACTTTGTGTACGTGTAAAATGCTGAGGTGTGAAATATCAAAGATGCATAAATGTGCATTTGGTAAATCCGTCTCAGCCAGTGGATGCTTGAATGTTTTTCATGAAACACCATTCAACACCATGTCCATATGACGTTACTTAAGTTCCATACAGTCTTGAACACTTTAGATGATCAAATTATAAAATGAACAACACAGATCCTGAAAAACTCAATGGTTGCTATGAAGTCACTTGTTGTTTAAGATAGTTTCCTACGTACGTCAATGGTTGCTTTTGAATTCGCTGGTTGTCATTTAGTCATTGGTTGCTATGGAATTACGACCCAAAAGGTTATTATTTGAATAGATTCCAAAAATCTAAATTTATAATTTTATAGTTTCAGAAGAAAAGAGCATTTTGTTTAATTCTTACAAAATTTTTTTTTCCACAGCGACAGTTTTAACAAACTCGGTAGAGTTCCACTGCGGTAGAAAGCTAGTAATTTATCTTTTAATTTCTTTATACCAAAATCATGCGATTATTTACCCTTCTATCAAATGTAGCTTGTGTACAGTATACTTTATAAATAAAGATGTAAGTATTGAAAAAATTCAGTCATAAATAGCATGTTACTTATTGATTGAATCTGGAATATATTTTTATTTTTCCTAAAATCTTAGTACATTTTTTTTTAAAGTTTGATTTTATTGAAATATTTTGACTCGTCTGTTAACGAGCGTTGCAATTATTAGATTTTTTTCTATTTTCCGTTTTGTTTATCCTTTGGGACGGCGGTAACCTAATTTTCTTTGGTTGAATGCACAGCAAAGATCTTTTGAGATCCGAATACGATCAATTATATATGAATTACAAACTTGCTTTTATAGGTAATAGTTAAAGTTTTGTCGTTTTGCCAGGACGCCTTAATATTTAAAGTGATAATTTACGGAAGCTCTGGAAGGATATTTATTACTTGTGTGTCATCATAACTGATGCATTATGCATTATGCATATTCACACATGGCTGTAGTATTCAAATGTTTTCTTGTAAATAGAGTAAATAGAGTTTTGTCATTATTAAGAAGTTTAGGGCGAAATGATCTTTTACAGTGACATTTTGCCCCTCCATGTGTATTGATTTACAAAAAAAAAAAAAAAAAAAAAAAAAAAAAAGAAAACCAATGATAATTCCAAAACGTTCGAATTTATGTTCGTTTTATACTATGTCAGACGTGTACGCATACGTTAAGCTATCCTAACCATTAACAGGTCTATGAAGCTGGGCACCTAAAAGACGGCGAATACAAGATCGCAGACAGGAAACGGCGAGAAAGAAATCTGAAACTGAAGGGGTATTAATGGCGTCGATTGCAAATACGTGCGAGAGATAAACGATAACGATAAACAATTCGCGTGTTGTCAGGAATGTAATATGTCTCAATCGGGTGTACTCATTCAAGTCTGACAAATGAATGAAATATAACACATGTGTTTAAAGCTTTATCATATTGTATTAAACTAGATACACATGTTTTCCAATGAATTGATACATGTATAATAATGATACACGCTAATTACGACTTTGTTTAATAATTGATAGTCTGCGCTCAGTAGAAGAAAATTATTTTAATTTGAAAATTTCTGTTTTATTTAACAGGTCTTAACTATATTGTTAGAATGAATAACGATAACGCGTGCAAATTAAAACTATTAGTGGCTAATTTCATTGATATTATAAGTTCATCTTGTTAAAAGCCCATATTACTAAAAATCAAGAGAAAAAGCGGCCCACTGCCGTTTCATTTTGTCTTCGGACAATGGCCAACATTCTACTTTAATATCATAAACAAGATAATACTGACGTGATTCAAGACCTAGAAGACCAGGCAAAGGATTCCGCTGGTTACATATTGTATTTATTTTGCGACGTCATTTGTTATTATACGTCGGGTCGGTTTACCCCTTATTAAATGAAATTGTCAGTAAGAAGCTTTGAAGTTGTATTACAATAACAGACAACTGGAACAAGCGTTTCCGGCCAGTTTGTTTATCATTAAAGGGACTCCACTGAGGTGTTAAAACCTAAAAACAGAACATTTGAATTTATTACATGTATGAGCTGGGTCACTTGAAACAAAAATATATGCAAAGATAATTAAGAAATATACTTTAAAATAACTTGAGAATCATATTTTTATGCTTTTCTTAGCCCAATTTGAGTGAAAAGCGTTTAAACGCTTTTCATTTTTGATCATTTCCTTACAATTTGAATAATTATTCTGGAAAAACGAAGTGCGCGAAAAATCAGAAATTTTGCACAAAGGTTAGTGGTCTAAACCGACATCAAATGGTACATTTATCTGGAAAAAATATTTTCAGTCCCACCATGTCAAAAAAACCTCAGTGAAGTCCCTTTAACAGACGGATAGAACATTTGCAAATATCTTTAACCGTTTAAAATTTGTTAATGATATATATCACAACGCATTAGAGTATCCAAAATTAGATGTTTTGTGTAATTGAATGAGTGATGAATTATGAATAAAAATAATAATAACTGATAAATATAAGTAAAGAAAGAACCGTGATACTTTTAAGCAATCAATAGTAAAAAAACACAAGAATAAAGATCAACAAGGCAAAGGCAACGTTCACAGGACGCAGCCCCCAGACACACCCAAGTAAAGTCCCATCTGGACTTCCGTATTTAATCTCTTTATTTATCTATTTATCAGCTAAAAACGTAAACATTTTTAAGTTGACGTTTTTAACCTTCAATAATTCATATAATTACGGAGACACTGTAATGTGTATGCCATTGTTTTCACATGAATCAGATTTGAAACAAATAAAATATTTTATTTCATAATACTTATTTTGTATTTGTTTGCATTCAATGACTGTATTTTTAGTTAAAGGCTTCTAGAATGGCAGAATGGCTAAATTTTAGTCCTGAAGAATCCAGTATTGAAGAGGAGTTTAACAGCAAGTTGCGTGAAGTATATGACCGTGATGGATTAAAAGGACTAAACGAGCATGTAACGAGTAAGCTGGATAGATGGAAACATGAAGAGATAACAATTGCAGTAACTGGAAACAGTGGAGTTGGTAAATCTAGCTTGATCAATGCTTTACGAGGTATAGATCAATCTGACGAAAATGCAGCAAAGGAAGATGTAACTGAAACAACCAAAGTAAGGAAAGCCTATCACTTTCCTTCAAATAAACAGATAGTCCTGTATGATCTTCCTGGAGCCGGAACGAAGGGACATCCAATTGAAAAATACACGAAAAAAAAATGGATTTTGAACAGTATCATTTTGTTGTGATCGTGTCTGCGCGTCGATTTACAGAAAACGATGCTGTGATTATTAAAGCGCTACAACAATTGAAAAAGCCATTTTTTCTCGTGAGATCAAATATTGGAGCAGATGTGTACAATCAGAGGAAAATACAAAAACGAAAGAAAGTTCTAGACAAGATTCGCCAAGATTGTCTTTCAAATCTACATGAGCTAGAAGTTAAAGCCAACGACGTATTTCTTGTTGACAGTCACGAACACCACGATTTCGAACTCGGAAAACTGCAGATAAGTATTGCCAACAATGCACCTGAAGCCATCAAAGCTTCGTTAATCTTCAGTTATGGAAACATGTCAAACGAGGTCATCGAAGGGAAGATTGAACACTTTAGGAGTCGAACGATGAGTGTAGCAATAAAAGCAATGGCATCTGCTTTACCAGGGGCAGGCTACTTGATGAAAGTGGATGTCATTACTGATGAAATAACTTTTTACAAAGAGGAGCTTGGTCTTGATGACGCATCCCTTGTCAAAACATGTGCGATTCTAGGTGTTGATATGACAGAAATTAAGAATATGATATCGTTCACTGATTTGGAAAGCTTTGAGGATGAGATAATAAAAATGCTTCAATGTGACAAGCTTGAACTTAGACAGTTTTGTTTAGGATTCATGCTTGTAAGTATTAAATCTACACTAGCAGCGTTAGCAAAGTCCTATAAAAAGGTAAGCAACACACTATGTAAAATTGTGGATATCTTACATCACGAAGCACTGGAAATCCGTAAACGTATTCTCGAGAAAACACGACAATAACTGTGTGAAGGATATCATAATTTAAAAAATGAAAGCATCGAGTGTTTTTTATTCACTAATGAATCTGTATTTGGGCATGATATAATAATACGGAAAGCAGTAATATGACAATACCATGTAGACAAGACTTTAGTGTTTTATTAACGAAATTATTTTATCGATCATTAGCATATAATTTTAATTTATTGCCAGTCTACTCGTAGTATTCGCTTTATAAGTTTTCTGTGTTAACACGTGTATTTTTAAATTCTAAAACGATGAAATTAAGTTAGAAAAAACAACAAAGGAAAAAAAGAGCAAGTATGGATAACGTGTTATGTTTGGAATAGTAATTCTTAATCAAAATATATGATTGTCTACTTATATGGGAATTTTCTGTTATACACTCACGTTGATATCATAGCATTAACATGATGAGACGGTAAATGCGTGTGAAAATAACTCATTTTTATTTGTTTGGGTCGTCAGACCAGACAAATAATGGTAGCGAAATTTCAGACCCTGATGCTGTTTATTGCAAATGCCAAAAGTAGTCCGCTTTTTTTGTTTCTCTTTTGATGCATTTATTTCAGGTCGCCGCCGGAAAGCCCATATGGGCGACCGTACACTCAAGTCGGGTCATCCTAGAGCGTCCCGCCGAGATTTTTCGTCGATTTTTTTCCAGCTGTATTGGTGGAGGAAGACCCCAGGTGCCCCTCCGGGCATTATTTCAGGCACGAGCGGGCACCTGGGTAGAACCACCGACCTTCCGTAAGCCAGCTGGATGGCTTCCTCACATGAAAGATTTCGACCCGAGTGAGGATCGAACCTACAACGGTGAGGGACCTGTGATCTCAAGTCAGCGACCTTAACCACTCGGCCACGGAGGCCCCACATTCAGTGTTGCTTTTTTGAAGCGGTTACGTCCCTTTATATGTAACACTAAGGCCGAAAATTTCAGGGGAGATCACTGCGTAAATATGGTCACATGACAGGCGCATTAATTTTCAAGCAAAATTATTCCCGAATGGTCGAAGATTTCTAATATTGTTTTATTCTTTATAGATGCTTATAGTAAGCGCCATGATTATTTACACAAGTGTTAAACAACAGTTAACGTCGGTACAAACCCTAATTTAGAATAATATGCTTTTCTTCAGGCCATTAACATATTAATTCACCGTGGTCGAGGGGCTTGCGCGCTCGCTTAGGAAGCGAGAGGTCTGCAGTTAAAATACCTGTTAAGGCATTTTTTTTCAAATTGTTTAAGTCAAATAAACATTGGATTGAATATCAGTGTTGCAATTAGTCTTATAGCAAATCTACTACAATTAAAACGCTTGAAATCATTGGTGGCACTTTACAAAAACAAATTGTTTTATAATCTCACAACCTTCACCTTTCTGACATTCTGAGACCCAAACAAATTCAGCGCCTTCTGTGCTTTGATTTATAAACGCTGTTTCAAAGAGTAATATGGGTCTCAGCATGGGGACAATACGTTAAAAAGACTGTACAGCGCGTTTGTCAGTAGAACAAAAACAAGACTTTAATCATGACAATCATTTACTTAATTGATACAATATAATTAATAATTTATTCATATGGGTTAACAACGTCATGAGATTAGTTGATAATCAATTTAAATCTTTTATTTCGCAATACCATATCTTTGAAATCAATGTACTGCACTCGATCCTCGTCACAGCAGAAAGAACAAATAGAATCCTTGAGAAAAAAAAAAAAACGAAGAAAAGACCCCCACAAACCCCCCACCTCCCCTCCCCCCAAAAAAACAAAACAAAACAAACAAAAAACATGGCACATTATAATACTTTGCCTTTTTTGAGTATCTTGACATTGGAAACCATGAGAGATTATACAATTTTCTGGTGCTGATGAAATAAATTTTGTTTTAAGTTACAATTCAGATGTATCTTTTCCTTTCTGTTTAAAAGTATTTAAATTGGTTTGTCAAAATATGTCCGGAATGAGATATGAATAAGGCTCCAACGAATTGTTCCATGCAGTATATATTTACACTGTAATTTACAAAACTTTTCCATATTTCTACACGAATATTAAATTCAAGAGACTTTTAATTTCTTCATTTGTGTTTGTAGTACCAACTTGTTTTTTTTCATTATCCCTTTTAGCTTGCTCACGGTGAGCTTTTAGGACCCGTCGTCCGTCCACACTTAGTTCGATAACGCTCTAGTGACTTCAGTTGCTACGAAACCTGGCCATGATGTTTGTCCCAATAATTACCCGGAAAAGTTCGAATACTGGTCTCTAAGATGAAACAAAGACATCGAGTCTCATGGCTATTTGTCTCTTACCGCTTCATCAGAATTCCTATGGGATCAGTAGCCAGTCACTTGCGGAAAAAAATCAACTATCACAACTTAGTTATCGTTAGGTAGACAGACCGCAAAGATCAGACCGAAGGTATGTGAACAAATGTAAAAATCAAAAAGTTTATTTCAAACTACATTTTGTTGTAAATATTTAACTATTGATATCTTTATTCATACAGGTAAATTTCTTTTGAACATTTAAAACAAGTTTAATTTGTTCTTCCATTTATCTTTTGAAATAAAGTTCCTTTTGAAGGATTTCTTTTGTCTGAAAAATAATAGATATCTAACAGGTTTGCAAACATACAATGTAATCTTTTGAACAAATCAAAAAATATATATTAAACCCGTTATATTATTATTATATTATAATGCAACTGAATAATTTTCTTTCACATAAATATATAATTCAAACATACCCATTCTAGTTCTTTTATTGACAACGAAACTTTATCTTATTATTTGTCACGTAGACCACAAAAAAAAAAAAAAGAATTGTTAAGAATACCTCATTTTACTCAATTCAATAATTTTATTGCATTAAACATTTTACAATGCTTATAGCACTGGTATGTATTTATGAAAACGTGAAATGGCTAATGAATATTATGTATCTGACGCAGCTTTTGCGAAAGAAGTGACAGAAAAAGTATCCCGTTGCATATTTACCTATCCAACGGTATATTCAACAATTCATGGTATTTTATATTCCTTAGAAAAGAATTCTGAATAGTCTCGATAAAATCCAATGTTTATCTTTTGTGTAAAGGTACTGATATAAACAAACTTTTAGCATGTATCTGTCTGATAAAAGCGAAGGAATGTCTCTTATCGACAGACGACGGTGAACGCTATCAACATAATGTAAATATCCAGAACAGTATGTTGATCTGCTAAACGCAGGCGTCACACTGTCCCGAAATTGACACAAGATGGGCATACGAATATGAAATTTTTAATTTCGTGAGAAGGTAGCCCTGAAATTGGTCGACAGTCTCTCAACAGCCGAAACAAGTACGATTTCTACAGAAGGTCACGCGATCGCAACTGAGTCACACACGATTCCTACCGAAGGTCACGCGATCGCATCCGATACACACACGAAGTCTCCTCAAAGATAACGAACTTCTCAAGAAAGCAATATTTCCAACAGACATAGACACGGATTTAAAACTATTCCAATTCTAATGTTACATTAATAAAATGATAGATACTCGTTGTTGTGAATCTATGATTAAAATGCGTTATGTGATTGCGTTCTTAGATGCTACATTGAATAGGCATAAAGTAGTGACTTTAAGGAAGCATTGCGGAAAATCTAATAATAGAATATAGTACAGTATAGTATTATATAGCTGAACCATACAAACAGCAACAATGTAAATGCCTAAACCACGTGCAAATCATGGTTAAATTGAGTAGTTGCCACTAATTAAGATATGACCCTCGTATCAAACATGTATGTAGTTGGTTGGTGAAGGTTTGAATAATAATAATAATAATAATAATAATAATAATAATAATAATTATAATAAAAACAACATCATCATCATCATCAACAACAACAACAACAATGATACAAATTCAGATGCAGTAACAGTGATGATGGTGATGTTAATTATGATGATAATAATTAGTTTAAACACTGTTTATAACAAACAAATATACACATTTTTCAAGTTACAAATACTAACACCAAAATCATGAAAAAGGAATCGAATAAGTGTTTTTAATTTGAGAGTGCTGATGTCTTTTTCAGAGGTTGCCCAGGGCGGGGATCATCCTTAACATTAGTTCTATCTTCCTTAAACATTGTTACCTGGAAATTGTTCAATATAGAAGGACATTTTCTCCATCTATTATTATAAAGCTAATTCTAGAATCGTTTTTTTCCGACGTGCATTTACCCAATAACCCACGAATTTGGCAATAAGCTCTTTGCGGCTCTCTCAAATCACAATGCAACACGCCATGCTTTCAACATGTATACAAAACCACATGTTTATAAATGACCTGCACAAATTTTATTGCACGTGCAAATCGTGCGTAAATAAACTTGCTGGTTAGAAAAATCAATTCTTTTCTACGGTACATTATACATGTACTTTCACGTGCAAATCATGATTAAATTGAGTAGTTGCCCATTAATTAAGATATGTCCCTCGTGCAAGACATGTATGTAGTTGGTTGATAAAGGTTTCAATAATAATAATAATAATAATAATAATAATAATAATAGTAATATTAATAATGATAATGAAAATGATAATAGTGATGATGATGATGATGATGATGATGAAGTTGATGATGATGATGATAATAATAATGAACAACAACAACAACAACAACAACAACAACAACAACAACAACAACAACAACAACAACAACAACAACAACAACAACAACTGCAACAAGCCATGTCTACAAAATGTATACAAAACCACATGTATTTAAAAAACCTGCCAAATCGTGTGAAAAAAGACTGTTGGTTAGAAAAATCAATATACTTTCCTATGGTATCTTGTACAAGGGGCATATCTTAATTAGTGGCAACTAGTAAATTTAACCATGATTTGCACGTGAAAGTACATGTATAATATTATACAAACTATAATGCTTCTTCCTTCTTAAACAATGCACAATCTGAAAATAAACTCCGAACGGTGTGGGGGGGGGTCATGTAATATTTTTTTCCACTATTTTATGTATTCTGCATACCTTTTAAATCGAAGAGCTGATTTCCGAGCTAGCTTTAGGCATCATACATTCGAATCTGACAGGTACTCCCCAAAATGTATGGGTCAAACACCAATAAAATCAGTTTTACCTTGATAACTGAAACACAATTCTAGCCTCTGAAACTTGAAATATAGCAACTTTAATTGTTAAGAAAATCAAACACTCACTTCGATTACAAAATGGTGTCTTATTTGTAAATTTGACCTTGGCCAATTCGAAACTAAACGACCGAAACCATGTCCTGCTTCTGTGGGACTGCAATTTATAAAATATTTATTATTTGTGGGAAATAAGATAGTATAATATGACGTTCTTTTATGACATGTGTATCAAGTTTGAAGTTCACAGCTTTTTATAGTATCTGAGAAAATAGACCTTAACGAAATGGTTAACAATGGCCAAACACCAACGCCGGTCAGAGAGGGTCAAGACAATAGCGCCATTTTAGCATCCTATTGCGTCCTATACGACGATAATCAATGTAACCTATGCTTGACATTTCATAAAAAAGTAAATGATTCCCAAGTCCAATAATGCGTAAGAATTATTTAAGCTTTTGTAGATGTCCACTAGGCAATGCTACATGCACATGTCAAATATTTAAGCTCTCGGCACGGAAGTTTTACACAAGAAGACTTAAATGCGTTTTCTTTTATAAGTCTAACATGTAAACAAAGTGACCACCAGAACGGCGCTATTTTGACCCCATGGACATGATTTTTTTAAAACTGTGTAGATGAAACAAAGGTGGAAATAAATGGCATATTGACATCTACAAAGCTTTTTATTTTAATCTTTTCATACCGAAGTCCCATATCTAAGCTAATCACATTGTATTTTCTTATAAAAACAGTTTTACTTCACTTCAAACTATTCTTTTTGGAGCTATTGTCATTATTAACCCGGCGGCGTCGGCCTTTTATAAACCTGATTTTTATTGGTACCACTTTTGCTTCAGTTAAAAAGAAATACGATAATAAACATTTTGTGTAAGATTATGGGTTTGTAGATTATAGTTTTATTAATTAACGGAATGAGATCCAAAAGCAGACTTATGAATTCTGTTTAAGTCGGTGCTAGGGAACGTTGACGGTAGTTTGCACTTGACAGTACCGTCCATGAATAGGCTCAATCAAACCGAACCTTCAACATTTTCAATATTGCTGTTTTGGACTTTCTTAAAGAATTCTTTTTTTTTCTTTATTTTATGTAGAAGAAAGACAGTCACACAGTCAATAAGACAAAATGATTGTTTTCACAACACTAAAATATGCTATGCCTATAACGACATCGTTAAGGAAAATTATAACGTTTCTATGACAAAATGCAAAATCATTAAAATTTTCGGGCACTAATTTTCGTATGTTTCGTGGGAATGTCCATTCATAATTTAAGATCTAATACATTTCATTTCGTCTGCCGAAAAATAATTACATTATTTGCATATCTTTTGACAAAATTCATGACTTTATGAAGCCACGAGAATATTTTTGTGTGACAAAACCATGAAACTTCATGGCCACAAAATCAAATGAATTTACAGTAAAAGTAACTCATTAAGTATTTATGTATATTGTGAAGTTGGGTGTCTCTTCGCTTGGCCTGTATTCAGTTGTGATTCTTTTGCATGGTAGAAACAGTCATGTTTGCCGATCTGCATTTAATTGTTTTATATATTTATCTGTTAAAACTTATTTCTGTGACAGGTCTGACTGAATTCAGTGGACAGTTTAAAGTATTGCGAAAAAGTACAAATATAAAACACTGCGCTGCCAAGTTACTGCCAAAGGTGAGATAATTAAATTTTTGATTATTATAATATGACTTCATTGTTTGGTTGTAAATTGCAACCAAAGCATCCGTAAAAACCATATCGTTATTTTTTCTATAAATGATTTTGTAGCAAAATATTGGGATATTTGGTATGAAAACTTGCAAATATAATTTGAATACATAATAGTTTACTTTTTGATTGAAATCGATTATTTCCAAAATTTTGTTTTACGAAAATAAAGAGTGCAGACTCCAAATTTGACTTTCTATATTTTGACCGTTTTGTCTAGTTACGTTACAGTTGACCAGTTTTGCATATCAAACAGAAGAATCTACTGTTTCAACCGGTGCTAGAAAAATCTGTCTTGTGCTTGCCAAATAATAAATCTATTTTGATTAGGCATTTTCAAGGAAAGCTGATGTGTTAGATTCACATTGTTAAATGTGTAACATCGCTATGAAAGAGACCTTATGTTGAGTCTCTCTGAAATGTTATAGCACTTCCCGATACCTTGATGATATCTTAAACTAAACCCAAAGAAAAGGTACCTCCCTTAGGATTTTATTATTAAACATGAAACACATCAATTTTTAAAAATATGGGATGTTTGAGCAAAACGGTTAAATTTATTTTTACACCAGTGACCTAGACCTTGACCCGAGTGACATATTAATTTAAGAAAATTAGAGAATCATTGATGGTATCCACCAACCAAATATGGAAAACATCTTTAAATAAATGAAGTTATTATGAGAAATATAAGATATATCCAACTTGCCGGAATAGGTAAACAATACAAGACCATATTTTTAAAGTGATAAAAAAGGGAAATGGGAAATAATGGATAACATAATAATATTATCTGGCAATATCTTGTACATGTATAGATGGAAAAGTGTGGAAAATATGAAGCTATTAGTATAGACATAACTTAAGATATATCGAACTTGAAGGTTTAGGTAAACCATATCCTTTTTCAAAGAGTTAAAAAAGGGGAAATAACTTGGATCAAATGATACCCATAAATATGTATCTTGCTTTGTGTGTAAATTATAAATCCGTTGGTACAGGAAGACCTGTTGAAAAATCCAACCTGCCCTTTAAAAGTTAACCTCTTCGCACAGACGAACGGACGGACTGTTTAGTTACTATATGTCTGGGGCATGAACATGAGAACAGAGCAGACATGACAAGCAATTCTGTCCTTAAAAGGTTTCAAGAATACGTTTTAGCATGTGTCATACTTCAGTGTTATACTATACTGTTATACTATAACATAATATGGCTATTAAGGAATATTTGAATGACGTCAAACAGAATATTAAAATATTTGAGCGCTTTGTAACATTTCTTTTTCTCTATTTATTCTTAAAACTAGCACGTAATGGAAAATAACAATGCAAAACTGCAATACTACGTTGTTCTTTGCATTGTTATTTTGAAACCTGACTTTGATAAATTAAAGATGTTTGTAAGTTGCTTTAGGCAACCAAAGTAACGTTAAAAGTGTGTCAAATCGCAATACAGAGTACCTTAAAACGATTATCATAAATACACTTGAACTTAAAACACCACGAAAACTTTTAAGGGCCTGCATTGAGTGCGACCATGACAACTGTGTAAGACAACTGATATTTGTTCGATTTAATTAGATTAATTTTTTTTTTCACAATGACTAGAGCACTTTTTTTTGTTATTCTTAGTCACTTGTCAAAAATGCTCGAAGTTAAGTTTTTTTGTCAAGGCCAATTTTTGTGAGAAGACAAATGTATTACAAAACATTCGCCTAGACAAAAAACTTCAAGCATTGTCAAGAAAAGGTTCGGTGAAATAAACTTGTTTACTTTTTTTTTTAAATCTTTGTGATTAAAATAAATTAATTTGTGTTTAAAGGTCTTATTCAAACGATTAAAAATCATGATCTGACTTATTGGAGGTTTTTTACAGAAGCTTATCAGGGCCTCCACTTATTTTAAAGTTTCATGTCATGTCAACTTGATTTTTCTCGTTGTGACCAAAAACATTCAATGAAGACGTAATAATTAATACGTAATACGTTAAACATTCCACGAAGACGGTATAATTAAAACGTAATACGTAGAATTTAATCATTGCAAAAAAAAACTTTGTTGAATTACGTGAGCTATTTATCAATGCGAGTTACGTCTTTGCGTCTTACTAAATATTTCATCAAAGTTGTGAAATCAAGAAGTTTCGACAGGATTTTTGTCGAAGAGACAAAAGCTTCAGGCATATCGAGAAAAATTTAGTTGCAGTGCCTAAAAGCTTATGATCTTTGTCAGTAAATTTTATCGAGAAATGCAAAAACATCTTATCAATGCGAATAAAAATAAGTCGACTTAGCGCAAAACGTCTCACCAATGGTAGACCCTGATACGCTTCCGTAGTTTTTTTATTGTTTCTGTAAAACACTACTTAAATACAGATTATTTATACCATACATATTATCTTAAAATCTTTTTCACATAAAACAAATACAATCATTTAAAGTAGACCACGGGTAATTCATTACCTCCTCTTTGAAGAGTATTCAAATAAGCTAGAATCACTTATCAACTACATTGAAAATTAGGGGCGTAGGTTCAAACCCCTGTAGTGGCAACCTTTTTTCTTTTTTTTTCTTTTTAACATTATTAATGTATCTTAAAGATCCCTTATGAAAGAAAAAAGTGTTTGATTTTAATTATATAATAAATGTAGGTATTAATTTGCTAAATAATGCCAAATTCAATAGCGAATAGGATATAAGATATTTTCAAACTTTAAAAGAAAATGAAAACTACACGGTAAGCAATATGAAAACATTTTTCATAATGACGATATTATAGATTGTTTTCTTATTTCTGAAAAAAAAAGCCCCTTCTAACAGCAAAGTTTTAGTTCAGAAATATATCCCATAACTCATAAACCATTCGGTAAATTTTATTTAAATATTGCATACAGGTGGCCTTTAAAAAACATAACTGTCCTATGTTGTCAAGTTTACAGTGCGCATAACCCATGGTCTACCTTAATTTTTGCACATGTAGAAGAAAGTTGAAACGAGTCACGCAAAATAAATGGGACAAAACAATGTTGAAAGTTAACCTCAACATCATCAAAGAATATCTTTACGTTCCATTGACGTCACTCATAAAGAATTTATGCATGCTGTACATTTCAGTGTCGCGCCTTGCCCTACAATCAATTGTGATATTTTCGCATGGTAGAGACAGTAATGTTTGCCGATCTGAATTTTAATTGTTTTTTCATGTTTTCTGGTTGTGTTTTTGTTTGTTTCTGGACCTTTTGAAACATTACATAAAAGTCCGAATATATAGAGGATATTTGTTTGTTTGTGTGTAAGATGAAATTTTATTTCATCGAGTGGGCTTTAAAAACAGTTTTCTGTTATTAAAGTTCTCGAGATGAAATAAAATTACATCTTACACAACAAACAGACAAATTTTCTTTTTATTTTATGCTTAAAAACAAGTTAAAACGAAATTTCCATAATTTTAACGTTAATATTAAAACTGTTTCCCCCATTGAGAGCCCAATTTTTTCGGAATTTCTCATTAAAAAAAGAAGTCTTGAGCTGAAAAATAAGTCCGCCAATCAACATTAAATGACGGTGATATTTATTAATTTTATTAAAAAAATATGAATGATCGCTTGTTTTGATAATAAAAACAAACAATTCTTGTAGGAGAAAAAGTCCAACCATCCATCCATATTTCTGTTACTTAGTGCGAATATATATTAGACCTGGCTTTGTAAATTGTAAGCGGCAGCCATTTTTTAAAGTTGTGTATTTCATGGGAGGAAAATAATTGTGTAAGATTCAGAGGGATATAATTTGGATTTGTTAGTCATACACATTTTTAAAAGAAAGAAAACTTATTTGAGGATTGTAACAGACAAAAAATAAGTGTTGACAGATGTGAAAACACTCAGAAAAGGAGCTAGGAAAATGGAAAACTTGGAAACCTGCTCAAGAACGCTGGGTTGATTTAACTTATTCTTCGAGTTATGGCTGTCAATGCTTTCAATTTTTCATAAAGCATACGGCAGTTATTGCTCGTAGGATACTTTAATATGCCCAAATGTCATCAAGAGCAGTTTTGCATGGGGAAGGAATGTATTTTTGAGACTGTCAAAATGAAACAAAAAAACGAAATTTGGTGATTGGAATTTCATGAATTTGAATGAATAGAAGTAAGTTTTCTTCTTTTTATTACTTTTGACATTTAAGTTATTTATCAATTTCAGTTTTGCTTTTTCTTTAAACAGCCTGACATTGTCAGAATTGTCAGCAAAAATAAAATTGAGGTACCACATGGGGAAAATCTTAAAAAAGTAGTTTCGTCATTGAAAAGAGTGAAATTATATTTTGATAATTTTCACTGTGAAATTACCAAATAGAATTTTCACGGATAAATCAGTAATCCACTGAAAAGCATAAAATAAAAAACAATATGTTGTCAAGTCCAACTCAAAAGTGAGAACATAAATTTTATTCTTGTTATAAGATTTTCTTATGTGCTTGCATTTCGACATATTGTCAATATCCTGAAAAACATTTTGTTTTCCCTATATGAAATGACCGATCAAAATTGTAGAAAGGACGAACAAAAAGGGAAAATTAAATTTTGCATGTTTAATAGAGCCTGTTCATTTCCGGTTAATGAGAGTGCAAGCTATCAAGGCCCTTAGAATCGGCTAAAGCAGAATTAAGGTTAATGAACGAGAAAAGTACTTCTGCTGCTGACCGTTCCAAGGCCCCTCTGTGTTCCTAAGATGTATGTCTTGCTGTTTCATACTGTTTTGGTGACGCTTTTGTTTGTCCCTTGTTGTTTTCTCGTCTACGGTAAGTATCTTCCTTTTTGTCACTAGTTTTATTTCTTTAATTTTGACCCCCCCCTTCCACTGTGCCCTTTTACTTAGTGGGCATATTAATCAATCATTTATTTGTTTTTCTTTGGTTTTGATTTCCTTTATTTCTTCTTATGTATTATTTTGGTGATTAGCCTGTCCGTGCTCTCTCTGCTTTGCACCCTATCCTGTTTTTTTTGGGTCCTCCTGGGCTCCTTGCCACTGGTTCAATAAGAACAATAAGAGTGTAGTGCAGTGTCTAGTGCGTTAGTTGTATCAGTGTATGATGAATCGTAAATGCAATAATAAACCACATCTGTAATGTTCAATTTTAGCCTTTTGTTACTTTAGAATATACAGTTTGTGAAGAATGATAACAACTTGCTCTGTTCGACGTTATGGACTTTGCATTATACGTTGGTGCATAATAGTAAAGAGTATTAATATGATTTGTATCATACTACGTGGGATATCATTTCATTGAATTTGTCATTTCATTATTGCCATATATAAAATTATTTATAAAATGGTATTTAGAGTACGATACTATTTTTATCAGTATAAATATTCTATACCAGTCTTTATTTCCTATGGCGTTGCTCATTAATGACGATACATTATTCGTTTTCTGACTACTATAGAAAATTAAGAAAGAACTCCCAATACTGTAGAACAGAAAGGGTGATATGCTTTGTTTAAATGAACCCGCTCATGAACGGTAGTAATTAAGGTAGTACACCCCTAATGGGCACTATAAGGAATTGTAAATTTGACAACATAGGACAGGTACACGGGACGTAAGAAAAAAGGTGTGGAAGAAAGGGACGGGGCACATATTGAAATAAGTTGAAAAACTGACCGTTACTGACAATTTAAAAAAATGAACATAACAAAAGGTGAAAACATTCCAACATGTAACACAAGATAGCCTACTTTTGATTGCGATTTGATTATAACAAAAATTTTGTTTCACGTGTAAACACAGGATTGTTTAAAATAAAAGTTGCAGATTTGTTATGTTTGTTAACACCTTTTTTGGTTATTGAACAGTACATGTTGCGTCAATCTTGTCTATAGATCACGCACGCCTTTTAGAATATGAAAAATAAGATCAGCAAGGTAGGATGAAATTCAATGAACGCATTTACCAACACATGACCACCGGTAAAGAGCCTAGCAAGACAAGGACAGGGCACACAGGCAAAAAAGGGTGGATGTCATTAAACCACAAGTTACGATTTAAGGTGTCGACTGAAAGAGACATTCAAATATCCAATTATCCAAAGGCAAAATAAAAAAAATATTCAAGCAAACAAAAAAAAAAAAAGAAAAAAAAAAAAAAAAAAAAAAAAAAAAAAAAAAAAAAAACAACAAACAAACACCACACACAAAAACAAATCTGTTACGTATATATTTATAACACACTTCCGCTATTTACACGAACAATAAGAGTGTATTGCAGTGTCTAGTGCGTTAGTTGTATCAGTGTATCAGTGTATGATGAATCGTAAATGCAATAATAAACCACATCTGTAATGTTCAATTTTAGCCTTTTGTTACTTTAGAATATACAGTTTGTGAAGAGTAATAATAACTTTCTCTGTTCGACGTTATGGACTTTGCATTATACGTAGGTGCATAATAGTAAAGAGTATTAATATGATTTGTATCATACTACGTGGGATATCATTTCATTGAATTTGTCATTTCATTATTGCCATATATAAAATTATTTATAAAATGGTATTTAGAGTACGATAATATTTTTTATCAGTATTAATATTCTATACCAGTCTTTATTTCCTATGGCGTTGCTCATTAATGACGATACATTATTCGTTTTCTGACTACAATAGAAAATTAAGAAAGAACTCCCAATACTGTAGAACAGAAAGGGTGATATGCTTTGTTTAAATGAACCCGCTCATGAACGGTAGTAATTAAGGTAGTACACCCCTAATGGGCACTATAAGGAATTGTAAATTTGACAACATAGGACAGTTATATGCCTTAAATGTCACCTGTATGCAAAATTTAAACAAAATTTACCGTGTGGTTTATGAGATATGGACATTTTTATGAACTAAAACTTTGCCATTAGAAGGGATTTTTTCAGAAATGAGGAAACTCTAAATAATCTATAATATCATCATTATGAAAAATGTTTTCCTTTTGCTCATTGTTAAGAAATAAATAATGACATTTAGGTAACAAATTAAACAAGCAAAATGATTGTTTTTAAACGAAATGTTTTTAATATGTATAAAAATGTAACCCTACCCCACCCACTTTTAACACTAATTTGACCATTTCCCTATGTAAAAAGCCTTATTTAAAATATCCCTAAAATTTTCCAAAATGAGGGGCTATTTTCAAAGTTTGCCTAAATTTTCTTTAATGTATATTGGTTGGTCTTGCAAAATATAAAATACTTTTACCGTTTAGTTTTTATTTTATTAAACTTTGAAAATATCTGGTATCATATTTGCTATTAAATTTGGCATTATTTAGTAAATAAATACCTACAATAATTATTTAATTAAAATAAAACACTTTTTCTTCCATAGGGGGTCTGAGAGATTAATAAAAATGTTAAAAAGAAAAAAAAAGAAAGAAAAAAATTGCCCCTTCTGGGGTTTGAACCCACGCCCCCTCAGTTTCAATACACTTTACAGTGATTTTAGCCTAATTGAATACTCTTCAAAGTGGAGACAGGGCATTAGGGGTGTACTACCTTAATCCAAGTTACCGTCCATCACAGGATTAAGCAGAATTATGCATATATCTATGTAAAGGTGTTTGATTTGGAATTTTAGAACATTTAACAATCCCTGTCATTATCAACTTTGATTACCTTAATAAAATAGCAGTTCAATGACTACTTCAGGCTAGATATAGTGGTGTTCGTGCATCAAACACAACTAAACAATGTGAGCATTTATTTGGGCCATTAGATGAGAACAGTATGGAACCAGGATATGGATATGCAAAACTTATATCGTGGAAAGAATCATACATGCCGCCGGTATATCTTGTTACAATCTTTTAACTGTGTTAAAATAATTTTTCTTAAGATATCCTTATTATAATAGTTTTTATTTTTATGATTGTGGTCATACAGCTTTTTGATATAGTGTGAATAAAGTAGTAACTGACAGGGTGTAAACATGTTTGATAAAGGTCTGATTGCCAAACTGTGAGTCATCGTGTGTGCTCTGTTTAATTGACGTTAATTAGAGATTCTCACTTAAACGTTTGATTCAATCTTGTATGTATGTCATACAAAAGCATGAAGCGTGAACTGTTAAAAAGGAGACTTCGTTAGGAATTCCGTTTTTCTCTATGTTCCTAATTTTTTTTTTAAATTATTTTTGTTTGTTTTTCAACATTTAACATGAAGTGGTAAAATTTTGAATTTTTAAACAACTGCAGATGTATTCATAACACAGACGTAATTGGATTATATCTAAACAAATGTTTGGGGTCTAGTAAAAAGCTTAAAACGACAGAAAAAATGTTCTCAGATTTTCACAAAAATAATTCTAGTGGTGATTATATTCTTTTTCTTATCTTTATTATAAAACGGAGTGAGTTATAAATTTTTGTTTAGTTGTTCTTTGTTGGCTATAATATTCATAAACATATCAGAAAGTTATTCTCCATAGTCCAAAACTGTATGTTTTACATATATGTTTATATTTCAGAAAGAAATTCGACATCTCGAACCTTGGACTTTCGATGCCTTTGGTATTTTCGGTGTTGATTCTCGTATGGACTTTAACTTCACTTGGCCAGAGAAGACTTGGGATAAGTATGTGATGATACGTTCCTATTTATTCTTGTTATCCGTACTTTAGATAGATGACATTATATGAAAATTTATAAGAAATTGCGAATGTTTTAATCTGTATCGAAATGACCGCGTGTGTATCAATAGAAAAGCAACCAACTTATGTTGTAAAATCATGACTATTTGCCTTTTAGTTCATAACGAAAATCGCAAACGTTCCTTTTTTATATTTCTACATATTTATTAGCAATTTAGGTAAAAACGTTTGTAAAGAAAGCAATTATTTTCAGTATATTTTATAATACTGCACGTCCGTAACATCGCTTTTCATTGGTTAATCGTGACATTTATGTAGTTTTATATACACGGCTGCTGTCGATTTATGATGCATCCTCTTTATTCCTTTAAAAATGATGCTTGCTGTTATAAATATTTCTGACAGGTTTTATGATCGTATATAAACGGTTGTTTGCAATATAACCTTCGCCTAGCGGCTCGGGTTAAATTTCCAAACAACCGTTTATAGAGCATACCCAGTATAATATATTATCATGTCAAAAATTTTAATATCTAATAATATAGGCTTACCCTAAAGACATATAAAAGTTACCTTTAATATCATAATCAGGATGTACGTTTGTGATCAAATTCATGATGTAAGAGAAATTTTAAAGGTGATGATTGTTTAGATCTGTAGAGTTACTGTAAATAAACATGATGTAAATCAGATATGACCAACGACAAGAAACATATGCATCTATTAAATACATTTCATGGAAAACTGCATTTCTTACAAATCAAATATTCTGATAAATTCGAGTATGGCAAACCGAAAGTACCAATATAGATTTTAGTTTTTTTCCCTACGCTAATTGTTTTACAAACTAGTTGACAAATGAAAAATATTATCTAACGCAGAGATTATTTGTAAATTTTTACCTGTAAAACAAAGCGTAACTGGAACAAATTGATGAGACAAAAATCGAGGTCACTAAACTCTTTTAGCATAAGTATAACCTTATCGATTTCAAAACAGTTTTGTCATTTCATTTTCAGTTTTAAACGATTCTGTTAAAAGAAAAGATATTTTATACTCTTCAATAAGTAATTATTCTTCAAAATGGGCGCACAACTGGAAGAAAGTTTATCATTTCGCACAAGCAGCTAAAAATTATACCCGTCTAACAGCATCTCATTATGTTTTGCACCGTGACAAGTAATAAAGTAACAAAATCAACCAAAAGCGTGTGTTCCATCATTTTGGAGAAATCTGCTTTTGAAGATGAAGCAACGTATTTATTTTCAGAGGCATATAATTTAAAAGGGTGGATTGTTAGCCCCAAGTCAATTTCATAATTTCATTAAGTTGTTTAAATAATGAGTCTCATAAGTTTAAGAACATTTTCTGCACCAGTTAAAGGGTTTTTCTTTGTTTAAAAAATGCAGAACTCAAACATCGTCCTTAATGTTTTGTTCAAAAGTAAAATAGTAAAAGTATTACTCTTTGGCCTTTGATATGTTATTTTTAACTTCAGAATTTGTTTGTCGTTCTATGAAGCACCAGGGACACTCAATATGTTTCGAGCTTGGTAAAACACATTGTTACTAATGATATTTTGTTAAATAAAAGTTTTTCTCATTGTTAATAGTTTTCATAATTTTATTTCATTATTCTATCGGATCAAATGGTCAATTAGGGCAAAACATACGCATGTAAATGACAAGGAAATGTGAAACATTCAACTTTAAACATAATGTTAAATAAACTACCACTGTTTATCGAAACGTCCGGAGAGGTTAATTTCATATGTTGGGATACATGTAATGCATAAATATAATATATCATACTATATATCATTTTTATTTTGGAGTGATATATGTGTGTATATTACCTGCCAAGATTTTATATCACCCGAGCCGTAGATAATTTATAGTTATATGATAATGCTGAAGAATTTTGAATGAGTAAACACTTTATTTCAGCGGATATGCATGTCAATATTTACATATAGATCTATGTTATTGACATATATATCCAGTAAATTAAAGTGTTCACTTATTCCGAACAATGTTATAGATTAAGACTATCCATGTAAAACAAAATTGATATAAAAGCCTTATGGAACTTATCAATATTTTTTAACAAACAATATTTATGTATGACCTTAATTTAAAAGCGCTATTGTCATACAATATATATATACAAAAACTTTATGCAACTTAACAATATTGTCTACTTATCTAATGTATAATCTTTGTTTTCTTAGTGCAAAATTAATAAATGATATGACTTCAAAATTAATAAATTATATAACTTCATTCTGATATAGACTGTTCACGGCTGTTGGAGACAGCTTTGTGTGGCTCGTTTATTCAATTATATAACCATAAGATTGCCTTAATCTTCCAATACCGTTTTTATTCAACTATCGTATCGGCAAAGTAGCCTAAAATTAATGTTTTATAAGCAGTTAAGTCATTAATTTCTGAATCATTTGCGTAAGTTTATAATTTACCAACCATGGTATTTTGCCTTCCTCTTTTGCAGCGTGAGCGGTGTCCCAAAATTTATGTATTTTCAAGATAAGGATACTGAAGGTATGGAAGACGACAAAATCTTGGATGTGTATTACGATGATGATCTCCCTGGAACTACATCTGGAATATATTTTGTTCATCATGATAACAATACCATTGAGGTAAAAATCCAGTTTTGGAATGATTTCTTGCTCAAGGTCATGCATGTGCCGACTGACAACGATGTTTATTTAATATAAATTAATGTATGTTGATCAAACAAGATTCCCAAGATCATGTACAAAATAATCAATTATCGAAAAATAATTTTTAGGTATGAAATAAAGATAATAAAACTATTTGTCTGATTTTTGATAAAAATATATATTTATTGCCAAGGCGGCAGGCCCTTCATCATAAAAATATATGAAGGAAAGGCTTTTGAAGAAGGAAAAATAAATAAAAAAAATAAAAAAACAACAATAATATCATTGTCGAAACTTCAGCTTTTCTAAAGGTAAATATGTTATGTTTAGATTAATCGTTTCATATCATTGTGAAATCGGAATAATTAAGGTGTAACATGAAATGTGCCGCCGATTAAAGAAATATAGTCTACCGGTGCGAATTCTATATGCAAATAAGTGTAAAGCCGAAGAGTCGTTTCCGGATATCCTTTTATAGACACGAACGTCACTCACTTTCTGCCTTAAAGTCGTAAAATTCTTATAACTGATCAGGTGTTCACAACATGTGTATAGGATTTGGACTAATACTAAATGTGTGGCTAAAAGCGAGGTTTGGTGCACCATTAACCGGTTTAAACTCCCCAGCAGTCATTATTATGCTGCTGACCGTTCCAAGGCGGCGCCCCACTGTGTTCCTCAGTTGTATGTCTATGTTGTTTCATACTGTTTTGGTGACACTTTTGCTTGTGTCCCTTGCTGTTTTCTCGTCTACGGTAAGTATCTTCCCCATTGCCTCTAGATTTTATTTCTTTAATTACCCCCCCTCCCCCGGTCTCCTGTCCCTTCCCCTTTTTGGGCCTATTATTATTTTCTTTGAATTTCTAATCGGTTCCAAATTATTCATCATTTAATGATTATCCTGTCCGTGCTCTGTCTTTGGCCTGTCCTGTTTTTGTTCAGGGTCCGCCTGGGCTCCTTGCCGTTGGTTCTTGTTGCTGGGACATATGGGGGTTGCGTTCATTGAACGCCGCCTTTCCTTGTTGATCTTGTTTATCATATTTTTTGACCGATTTTCCTAAATTTTTTCTTCTAAGGTATACAGAGACAATAGTTTGATTTTACCAGTCATATAAACAGTGAAACAGTATCTTATAAATATGTTGTTGCATTGTTCAATGCTTTTTTGAGAACACCTTTTTTGTCAAATGAGTGACTTTTTGCATTAGGGTGTCATGTTTAACCCAGCTATAAAATGTTTATCTTCTTTCGAAATAAATAAAACTTCCCATGGGCATATGAGACATGTTTTTAACCTCACATGTAATGTTTAGTTAGATTTGTTTTAAGGCATTTCAACAGTGCTCACAATATGCGCTGGGGTTTATTCAGTGTAATAAACATTTAATTTTTTTCCTTTCAAGTATATAATATATATATCTACTTCTCGAAATATTATACTTTTTGTGTAAAATCTGCATTTTTAGTTATTTTATGATCATAAAGTAGTAACACGATTTTCGTGTCGCCTCTACAGAAAAGTGGCGACATATAGGGATCTCTTCTTCATCGTCTGTCGATATGTCTGTCCGCCTGACCGTCAGTCACAAAACTTTTCCGGACTACTAGTACTACTCCTCAAAAACTACTGGTGCAATTCATTCAAACTTTACAGGAATGATCAGTATCTAATCTAGTTTTTTGCATACTGTCGGCATTTTACTGTTCAATGATTTTTGTCAGAGTTTAGGCCCTTATACATTTTTGTTTTTAAGGTTTATCCGGACTTCTCTTATACCATTGATCTCATTTCAAAGATACTCCATAGGATTGGTACCTTAAGTTCTTGCGCATATTATATGATTTTTTGCTTGAATGATTTTTGTCAAAGTTACGGTCCTTGAATAAAAAGATGTTGTGGATTTCTGCAATTCAATGAAACTTTTCAAGATTGATTGGTAGCTCAAGTACTTGCACATATAACACGAGTTTTTCGGTTGAATGATTTTTGAGTTATGGCAGTTGAATAAAAAACAAGTTTTGCCCTGTTATTGAAATTGTGGCTCCTGCTACACAGTAGCTGGTTTCTGTTTATTTGTCTTTGTTTTTTTAGCTTTTGTTTAAATTATGTTTTTGTTCAGATTGTTTGTTTTTGTTATTAATTTGTTTTATTTTACCTTATTACCTCATTATATTTCCTTCTATTTCAACAGGTTATTTTGAATGGCAAAGCAATAATGAAGAGGAGAATAAACAATGTGCGGCTTGACCTTGTTGCATTCGTTGAATTGTTTTTACGAATACAGGATGATACATTGCTTTTAATTAACGGTATGGAGTTTAAAAATGAAGTTTAAATTCTGGAAATATTGCAACGTTTCATTTATTAGCTGACTATCATGCAGATTTATTTTCCATTTCTTTTCTATATGCTTTGAAATTTTAGAGAGAAATGTAATTTTCAAAACGCAAATTCCTGGTCAAATAAAATCAAAACATTACTTGATAGTTTAGGTTTCAGTGATATATGGTTAAAGTCTGACTGTAACTATACTTTTATTTTTGATGCAAAGGTAACAAGATCAGTATATCCAAAATTATACACTGGAGAGTCATAATGTAGCTAAACTAGACTACTATAAAGGATTTAAAGCTGATTTTTGCTATGAAAACATTTAGACATCTTAAACTTACGGTAAACAAAGAGAGTTAAACAAAAGTTTTAGGATATCGGCACAAAAAATCTTGCAATTCAAGAAAGTAGATATACTGGCACTGGAAGACTTTATCGTATCTGTAAAATTTGTCCATTACTATCAGCTGAATATGAGAATCATTTTTTATTAAGCTGTAACAAATTTTATGATATACGACATTATCCTTTTGCAAATAATGCTTGACATTCAGTCCAAAAGTTAAATGACATAATGTCATCTAATCGTAAAACTAGAATCATAAAAATCTGCAAACTTTTTAACGAAGCTTACATTAAAAATTTTGTTGCTTCTTAGATTTTATATTCTTTGTGAGTGTAAATTTTTATTGTTCTATGTATTGAAATAATTTATTATTAAATATTAGATGTGTAGTTATTTGTGTAATATTTATATAAGCTGTATTTCTTGACCATAGTTAGTATGTGTAATTGAACAAAAATTATTTGAAATGCCGATTTGCCATTAAATGAAATGAAATATATTAAGTATTATAATATAACAAACGAAATAGATATAGGCACGAATGTGCATAATTATAACCTGTTTAAACTTATGGAATGTTTTTATACTAATTTAATTATGACATTTTGTTAAAGAATTCGTGAATTATTTTACTCTGACATATGGTATATCCGGATATATTTATATCCGAGATATAACCAGTTTAAAACAACAGTCGGAACCGCGATAACAACATCGTAATAAGCGGTATATCGTTTTAAGCGAAATTGTTATATCTGGAGTTTACTGTATTAACGTTTAACTAGAGTGCAAAATTCAAGGTCATTCGCTCACTTTGTTTTTTTCCAGAATAATAAAATTCAATTTTGCACAATGTTTGAAAAATACCAAGAATCGCTTTAAATATTGATTTTAAGTTTTATATCTTAATATATATTTCTGTAGTATCTTTATATATATTTTTTTCCATTTCTCACTGAAACGTATAATTGTGTGAAATCGATTGGGGTTAAAAGCGTCTTAAACCTGCAAATTTAAGTCATTTTAGGCAAGGGATCATTATCAATTCATGAAAGAACGTGGGACAAGATCAAACCATGCAGCATATTATGTCTACAATGTAATTGGCAATAAAAGAACTTTTAACTTATCATTTTTCCTTTATACCGTTGAATATTTAATTGAGGTTATATATTCCGTCCATGGATTATTTGATTCAATAATAGTCGCATAGTCTTATTTTTCATCGTTTTTTTTTTTTGATAAAAAAATCGTATGAAGCATACAGAGTAATCATAATACGCTAGATTAAAGAACTATTTGTAGATGAACATTATGTTTGTAGAATTAGAGATTACAGTTATATTTCAATACATTTTGCCATCCTAACAAAATATCGCTATAAGATCTTTACATTTCCATTAAATGACACTCTTTTTGAAAATATTTATAAACGTATTCATACTCAGAATATCTATTGTTTATTGTTAACATTCATGGGCAATATAATATATTCATGTTGACTTAAATAAAATTGACTGAATATGTATTCGCAGTTGTTATTATTGTTGTTTTATTTCAATTTGTGGCAAAATAATTCCAATGTGGTAATATTATTCAATGTCTTATATAATTGTTACAATTTTATGTGTCATTTGTCAATATGAGCAAAGATGATCTTAAGAAATACGTTTGTGTATAAACCTTTTTAGAAAAGTCTAATTAATCGATACTTTGAATGGTGTAATGCTATGCAGAATATAACAGATTTATATTTGGGTGTCAGCATATTACTGAAATGTTACTAAATAGGTGGTCTTTACTTATCATTATTGTACACGCTGTTTTGTATAATATATATTTTGCTAGGTCACTATATTGAGAATAACATGCTACAGTCATGAGGATGATATGGGCTGATATGGGCTAGAAAGGGCGAGGCTTTTTAAGCCCTTTCTGCCCATATCAGTCGACCTTTTAGGGTCGTTGGCTTCAAACCACTTGTAAATCAACGCTGTGGAATCGCATCCAGAGTAAGGATATGTTAGGATACATATCTACTTCAAATTTAGCTTACAAAGAGTGTTCCTGTTGCATAAATGCATAAATTTCTATCTTATAATAAGGCATTCTTGTTTTCAGCAATGTAAAAAGAATTATTTTGAATGACTTAGTGTTAGTGTTACATTGATCTTAATCTAAGAAAGACCAAACATGCGCTCTGCACATCGACCCATTATGGTTAGTATGCCTGTCAGTTAGTTAAGATTTCCTTCTATCGGTTCAAATTATACTGAATGGACTCGAAATAGCTTACGGACTGACGGACGAGCAGTTGTAAAAAAATATTATCATAGTATGTATTACGCTAAATTTCTTTCTGTTCTTGTTAATTTTCGCAAAGGGCAATATGCAGATAAAAATAAACTTTAGGACAAAAATCTTAGTCCTTGACCTTCACCTTAACACGTGACAATTTGAATGAATATCTGGAGTGTGTGGAGACAGCACTGGCACACATAATGCTAATCAAGAATTGCCCTTGCTCACCAAGAGAAATGATACAGTAAGGAGTGCATGCTAAGTTGTGAACCTTAAAGCTATTTTTCCCGGAAAGGAAAAGAAATACAAAAACAAATATCATTGTTAATTTACCTCAACTACCCTGCCTCCTCCAAGTTGAAAAATGAATTGGAACAGTTGCATTCTAAACGAATAATAGTATGTTTGAAGTAATGAAACACATGTTTCAGTGTTACCATACTTTTGAGAGATGCTTTTGATCATAAAAGTTAAAATATTTTTCTATACAGTTTTCAAACCATTTCTTTTGTCGATATATTAACAACTATATTCCGATTCAAAGTTATAAAATACTTGTTTGATATACACATGTACATTAAATTTTTGTTATAGTACTTTATAATGAAAATTTACTGTATATGTTTATATCAAAACAAACAAATTCAGTTTCATTTTCGATTATGATATTTATCAATTTAACAATTTCGCTTAAAAGTAATTAATGAATTAAATCAAAATCTTGGAAATAGAAAGTTAGCATGCTTTTTTGTAATTCCGCTGTATTCAGTGCAAGAAAAGGCAGTATCATTATGCCAATCTAAGGGTAAATGGTGAGTTCACAGGCATAAGTAAAGAAAATAATTTTTATATACATTAATTCTACAAATGTTTTATCTTTTAGAATTATCTGAAAAGTTCGGTTTAATAAAGAGAGTTGGGCAGTCTTTTATATTGATTTCGGGCAGGTTTTATGTCTGTCATAACTATTTTTATGAAAAAATCTTTGGTTAATGAACATTAAAAAAGTTTTTTTTATGGAAATTGAGATTTGTTGGCAGATAATTATCTTACTTTTGGTGTGGGATGAGAAATCAGTCACTCCGTCACTGTCAAGGCCATTGTGCTAAATTTCAGATTTACGGCTTAATGATAACCGCCGTATAAACACATCTGTGTATGTTTCTAAATTCAAAATTTCACCATTACCATAATTAAATGTCGAGTTCAGCTTAAGTCTGTGCTGAGGTGTGTGGATGGTATCTTGCACTTTACAGTGCCGTCCATGAACAGGCTCAATCAAACCGAGCGTGTAACATTTTCAATATTGTTGTTTTGTGCGTTCTTTATGGATTCTGTTGCTTCAATTTTAGGTTTAATTGTAAACCCTTCATTATGTCCAAATCAGTGCATTATTTCATATACATACAAGTCCATGTGTTGAGCCGTTTTCCTCTGGCCCCTTTGAAAAAATAATATTGCATCAATTTCAATCCGTTGCGTCTTTCTCTTATAAAATACACATTGTTGCAATTAATACCTGGAAAGAGACGATCCCCTTGGGAGAAAACATTACTTTTAGATAATGAATAGAATATGTTAATTGCACCATTCATTCGTTAGTAAATATTGTTGCGTTTTGCATAATTGTTATTGATTTGCAACACTAAGTCGGATTGAGAAAGACATGAAATCTAATGTCGCATGGAACGTATAACATTAAGCTAACCTTAACACTCGAAACACGAAATCTCGTTTAGTAATTATTTTCGGCTTATTTGGATTTAATAATCGGATGTATTTAAACGGATAATAAATAAGCTCGACGGGTAAGAAAATTAAAAGGAATAACACTTATTTTGTCCTTCATTCAATAAATTTCATCATTTCGTTCGTTCGTTCTTTCGTCCATCCATCATTCAATACATTACATTTCGTTCGTTCGTTAATAATCAACATTGTAGTCTTTGTGTGCATGCTACATTATGCACAACGTGAAATAAAAACACTGCGTGCCAAAACATTCACAAACACCTTTAATGTTAACACTGCTATATTTCCACGATTCTGCCGCCGCTGGCATTTATGCAAAGTTCATGATGATAAGTTAATCTGGTAAAACGATTCTCGTCTCTAAATGAACCATGCATCCTAATGTAATTTGGCTTACAAACGATATAATGATATAAATCGCAGATCTGATATTTCGGTATACAGATAATTTTGGTCATTAACATTTGTTGGATAATTGCCTCAGTGACTAGAAAAGGGTATTTATTACTATTATATTTCAATTAGACAATGGATTGAAAGGGCACAGAGGAATTTCTAGTTTTTCTAAACATATTGTTTAGTGATAGACAGACGCGAAACTGCTACATACAAGGTAGGTTCTGTTAAATTTCGTTTTGTCTTCACAATATTTTGTTTTACAATTTTGTTGCTTGTTTTTCTTTTTGTATTGTTATTTGTTTGTTCCTTTGTTTGTTTATTTGTAGAAGCTCGGGAAAGTAACATCGCGAGTTATGACTAACAAAGTCTGTAAAATATAATGAACAAACCAAAGTGTGTATATTAGTATGTTTTCAGTTTAAGAAAGAAGAATTTATTGCCAGTGTAACATTTATCTTATTGTTATCAAAAACAAATACATATTTTTAATTTCTGCAAAGCACAGAAAATACGTGCGTGAAAATGATGGTCCATCCTGCTACCGGAAGTAAGGAAGCTGACAAACTTAAATTCGAAAAAATAGACACTCAATTTCATTAGACATGTCATTTTGTGCATGTCGTTATATAAATGCTTGAATCAAGTCTATATTATTAATAAATAAATATTTTATATTTCCAGATCTCGTTTGAATAAATTTGGCTGTATAAAAATGTCATCATCCGTTAAGAGGCAATACTTTGATTGTTTTATTTTATATCTATTAAACAATGTGTTAATTTGTTCTACCGCTAACATTACAAGTGATGAAGATCGACTGTATGAGGTGTTATTTAAAAATTATAACCCAGCAACAAGACCTGTAAACAATGCCTCAGATACCGTAAATGTTGGGATATCGGTATCACTCGTTCAAATAAAAGATATGGTAAGTTAAAATATGTTTTTCTAATCTCTTAAAAATCAAACACATTCCAATCTTAAACCCGGATACACCAACTTTTCAACGTTTAAGTTATTACAAATCTGTAACACTTCCAACTACGTTCAGTACAATTATTTAATTTTTTTTTATCTTATCCGAACTCATATTGGTTCCTTATTGTGCCCTTAGGTTATATCGTGATATTTTAGTTTAATTGTATAAACTTATTAATCTACATTTAATAAAATGTATTTCTTTTTATAATGTATATGTGTCGGGAATGCCTTTGGTTTTCTACATCACAAATTACATTTAATTGCATTGTACTAGTTGATAGACCGTAGAACAATGTAATTTCACTATGTGTAATAGCTGTACGTTATTATGCAGTTTTAAATGCCACTATAAACTTGAATTGAATGTTACTAATTATATGCTTAATGGTAATAATGATTATTATGAATAATTGAATAGATATTTTCTGGAAATATTCTCATAGGTAGGTATATAAAATATTCCACACTTATTCTATGTTGAGCGTGCTAATTAATACTTTTTGCGTCCTTAAAATTCATGGTCCATGCATCTTTGTTCGTGCTTTAACATCTGCAGGAGCAGACCAAATGAAAGTCTGAGTCCACAAAGGTTTCCGTAGATGCTGTGGTCTGAAAAAGTTGCATTAGCGCTATTCCAGCATAAGCTTTACGTTATTTCGTTAATCCAGCGTTTTGTTTACTATTTTCGTATGAAATTATCAGTTTACCATGCTATTCACGTGCAATTACCAGTTATTTTTCGATAATGAAACTATTCGTCAAAGGACCGTGGGCTATCTTTTCCATTCACCCTGAGTTAAAAAAGGCACAACAACAACGGCGAATGCTTGCGTGATTATATTAAATGAAATCTATGTTTTCTTCCCCCGTTAATTTGATATATACCTTCATGCAGGAATGTAATTGATGTGTTACATTCCAAAGCATTGCTATAACTTTCAAAAATATGGAAAGAATTACAGACTCGATTTGATTGCACCTGTTCAAGAGATAAAATAAAAGGTGGAATATCTCTCATGCCTATGATGGCTGAGTTGTTCCATTCTTGCTTTCGTCAAGTTATGTTTATTTTCGACTTTTTGCTAGGCTGGGTCGCTGGGCAAAAACTAAAATGGCAAAATTCAGCCACCACACCCTCCATCCCAAGCACTGACCAATAATCAATAATCTAAAGGACTGGAAAATCCTAAGTAAAACAACATATATAAACGACATGTTGTTTGATTGTTTTTACGTCACACCCGCACAGTATAGGTCATATGGAAACGCCATGTGATAATTATATTTAATTGTAAAAGTTTTGTCCAGAACATTATTATCTCAGTAAATCATCCTATATTAATTTAAGCGATTAACTTGGCACACGACTTGACAATGCAAGCTTGAATCCGTTGAATGTTGACTTAAAAGTAATTTCCTACATTTCTAAAGACTTTCTAATAATTTGTTTAGATACTTTGCGTAGGTCATACGTCTTACGAATTGCCCAAATGAGATCTTCCATTCTGTTTATTCTCTTCAGAAGCACGTTTAAGATTCTTAGTAATTATTAGCATGAATTCTTGCATTAAACTACGAACAATGTGACACAAGTATTATCTCCTATATGGAATTTTAAATATCTGGAAAAAAGTGATCCCTTGGAAGAATTAAAAATTACAAAATTAGATGAACATTGCAGAGTCGGTTTGATTTAGTCTGTACATGATGGATAATGAAAAAGTGCAACATCCCTCAAGCCCCCTAGCATCGGTGTGAGCGGTACTTAATTTTCAACACTTAAAAATGCTTGACTCGATTATCAAATTAAACCCTGAATTCAAACGGATTTCAAGCTCGTGAACGTTTTATATGCCTCGTTCGGTCATATAAAAACTAATATTATGTTATTAATTATAAAACTAAAACTAATTCATTTTTTTCAGGATGAAACTAATCAAGTTTTGCGCACACATATATGGCTTTACCAAGTAAGACTTTTGACCTATTTGTTTTTTTAATTGTTAGTCTAATCTTTGACCTGCTTAATCCAAAAGTGTTTAGCCTTTGCTATTCTGCTGTCTAACAGGACTTTTTCCTATTGTTTTTTTTATTTTGTTGCAATCCCTAAAAATTTAAATAAATCATTCCAAATTCGATGAGACAGGACAATTACATTAGTCAGAGTTTCAACGGGACATGTTCACTTTTTATTTCCATTTTAATCGACCAACTTGAAGAACATCAATATAATAATTCATGGATGATCATGTTTATATGTAATAGAAAGTATGTCGACTTACAGGTACATTTAGTCTAAGAAATAAATGCGATTTGTTTCTTTTCTATGCATATCGAACTTGCTTTTGTAATGTTTAAAATAATAGTTTTTAAGAACGCTAATTGCACTGTTGAATGTGATGAAATTATTTATAAAAGCTAACATTTTTAAACTATCTGGATTCTTGCGTTCCATACAGAATACTAATTCACTGTAACGGTACTCCTGATTAAAAAAGCAAAAAGACAGTTTAGCGAAAATGCAAATTAGTACCATTTTTGAAATTGTACCCGTTTTACATTATTTTATTATGTTTTATAAAACATATAAAAATCTAGTGAATGACATTTTTAGCAGACGACAATTTTTCTTTCATGCAAAATACATGTTTTTGCCACTTTAGCTCTCTTGGCAATGGTTATGCTTAAAGTAAATTAGTATTTTGTTGGTAAACATCTAACATACTCTACATCCATTTTAAAAAACATTATTAAGCACATGCCATTTCTAAATAATTAAACATTTTCTGAGGCATGATGTGGCTTTAAGCAAGTCATTTTGCTTTACATCTAAAGCACTGGAAAGACGAGAGCCTAAATTGGAACCCTGATCACTATAATGGACTGAAGGAAATCTTCGTACCGTCTGATACTATTTGGTTACCGGATGTAATGTTATACAATAGGTACGTATGCCATAATACTAGCGATATACTTTTAATTTTACAGATAAAGTTAATTAAATGTAATTCACAATTTCTTTTATAAAACCAACAAAATTCAGTGCAAAAAAAGAAAAAAAAGATATAAGGAGTGTTGTGTTTACGATTGCGAACAGTACTGATTCTGTACATCGGGTGATGTAAAAATCGGAACTGCTCGACAGTTTTCCTCAAAGCTGTTTTAGTACATTTTGCCGCGTTTGAGGTTTAATTGCTGGAAAGTCTTGAAAGTGTATGACTTTTACAATGTTTGTGCGACGTAAAACCAACAATGTTTGTGCGACGTTAAACCAACAATGTTTGTGCGACGTTAAACCAACAATGTTTGTGCGACATTAAACCAACAATGTTTGTGCGACGTTAAACCAACAATGTTTGTGCGACGTTAAACCGACAATGTTTGTGCGACGTTAAACCGACAATGTTTGTGCGACGTAAAACAACAATGTTTGTGCGACGTAAAACAACAATGTTTGTGCGACGTAAAACAACAATGTTTGTGCGACGTAAAACCAACAATGTTTGTGCGACGTAAAACAACAATGTTTGTGCGACGTAAAACCAACAATGTTTGTGCGACGTAAAACCACTTATTAACCTTTAAATTAGTGCTGTTCAAATTCAACAGAAATAATTCATGCCTTATAACTACTGACAATAGATTTACTAGATCTACAAGAAACCATTTCAGGTATTAGGACCCTAATGGGCACTATAAGGAACTAAATCAAAGCACTGAAAGTACTGAAGTATACATTGCTTGATAATATTTTCCATTTTTGTCATCAAAGCCATGTTGATTTTAACCTACTGACCTCGAAAACAATAGGGATCATCTTCTGACCAAGATCTATGTCCCTAACAAGTGATTCACATGCACCAAGGTTTTTTTCTTCAAAAGTTATTTATGAGTCAAAGAAGATGTAATGTTCCATCTGTGTATTGCTAGGGCAAGCTGATAGATGAGCAATAAAGAAATCATTTTTTGAAACACCCGTTAAATGGACTGCAGTATAGAATATTGAAACAGTCATATTGAGTTTCCAGTGATGCTATCTGATAAAATACATGATCTGGCTTGAACTATACAAAGTCAATTAATTGAATCATCCTACAAGACTTAATAACCAAATTATAGTACATCTATGTACTGTACTTTGATGCATTAATAAATATATTCCGGTGCGTTGTATTAATCTCTACACATTAATTTTCAAATGCATTACTTTATCGTTAATTAATAAAAATGAAA